AAATTTTCTGTTGTGCTTTTATTTTTTTGAGTTGTTGTTCTAACTAAGTCTATTTTTTTTTCCTTCTTAAAATTATTTCTTAGTTGTTTAAAGTGTTGTTCTTAATCTAGTTTTCTACTTTTCTTTATAATTTTGATTTTGCTTTTTTATAAAATTGTAAATCGAACCTAACTATTATATTAAGTTCAAAACCTGACTATTATATTATTTATATTGACAAACCTTTTGTTATTTTACTATTATTCTGCTATTATGCTGCTATTATGCTATCATTATTTGGCAGATATAAGGTAGAATAATGGCAGATTTTTTTTCTGTTATTTACCTATTATTCATTCTTTATTTATTTGTTTAATCTGTGATAGCTGTTAATAGTTTAATTATTAAGGTTTTTCTTTCTTTAATTATACTTTACAGATATTTCTAAGTTTAGAAGTCTAATAATTCTTATATAGAATAAATATTTTATTACATCTGATCTATATATACTAGACAGTAAAATTTGGTTAAAAAACTGATTTTATTATTGTATTTTATAATGTTTAGAAGACTATTGAATTTAAATTTTATTTTTTAAATATTTATGTTTTATTTTTTTTTATTAAATAAAAGATTTTCTACTTAACATTTGTGCTATTTAAAGTTTATTACAACTTGTTAATTTTTAGTAAATTTTATTATAATATCTATAAATCTAGTACTAAAAACAGACATAATTAGATTAAAAACTTGGCCAAAAGAATAAAAACTATAACTTTTAATCTAAAAAAAGATTGAAAAAAAAAGTTATTATAACAACAAACTGATTATAGAAATTCAAAAATATTAAAATAAAAGAAATTAATAAAGAAGAAAACTCAATTAAAGAAATTATAGAATTTTAAGAAAAAAACTGTTATCTTAATTACTTAGTTCCAATTAACAACCTAGCTAGATGCTAGTCAAAAAAGTATCTAACAAGAAAAAAAATATTTTCTAATACCTTTTTTATAAAACACTACCTCTAAGCTATCAGTTACAATATATAAATACATCTATTTTAGAAAGTTGTTTCTAATATAATAATAAGCTTCAAACAATTAAGCACTTTGCATTTAAATGCAAAGTTAGTAAAAAAATTTGAAAACAAGCTTCTAGATTCTTAAAGACTAACTAAGTAAAAACCCTTTTAGACTTTATAAAAGAAATTTTTATAGCAACAAATATCACAAAACATAGAAGCAGCCAAGCTACTTTATAATTATATAGAAACATAATATATAAAATATAATGTATTTATATCTTCTTTAAATAGAAAAATAGCAATCTTTTAAACAGAATTTTGTTTTTACTAGTTACTAAACATCTTTGTAAAAAAATACATACTTTATACTATAATCTAAAAAATTATTTTCAAAAAATGAAAAATATATACATATAAATATATACAGTATGTTTTTTTTTTTTTTTTTTTTTTTTTTAACACGAATTGGTATGCTTTTATTAGGTTATACTAGAAATACATTATATTATTTATATATATAAAGTTTAGATTTTTTTAATGAATCTAGCTATTTTTAGCTTTCTTTTTTTATACAATGTACTTAAAATTTTAACATTTTTTTTTAGCCTAATTTCTATTACTCTTCTAATTTTTTCTTCAGAATTGACAGTATTTTACTATCTTGCTTAGGTATACTATAGTCAGATTTCATAAATAATTGTCAAGTATAACCATAAAGCTGTTTTTCGTAGCTGTGTATTTAAGATGTTAAATATAATAAAAATTTCTTTCATTGTAATAAGAGAGGCTTCTTCTAATGAAACATTTAGAAGCTTATAACCATAGGTCCATATAATTTTACTAATTCTACAGTCTAGAGCGAAGTGTTCTATAGTTTGTTTCTTATTCTTACAGTTAGGACAGCTTTCATTTATATTTAGATTAATATATACCAACTGATAGCCAAGTAGAAGGGCTCTGTTTTGCAACCTCCAAAATATATCTTTTTTCTTATTTTGAATTTTTTTAGTAAATAACTAGTTGAAGTAATCTATTGAGTGTTCTTGTACTCCTAATGGTAATTAAGAGGCTGTTGGCTTTATTGATCATATTCTTAAAAACTCTGTTGCTTTCTTGACTGAAAATTGATTTTCTGACTTATTCAATATTTCTAGCTTTGATAATAACTATGACCAGTTGTTGTTTGTAATAACTTTGCCTTCTAGTCTCTTCCACACTATTAGATAAGACTTCTAAGCATCTGGCCAACCTTTAGTTTTATTGTACTTTGATTCAGTAGTTCTAAAATTGTTGTTTTTCTTTTATTTTGCAACTGTTGTAAGATTGCAATTCTCTTGTGTTTCACCCAAAGGTTATTGGATATTAGCAATTTAATTTAGATGAAGGTAAGCCTAGAGTTTAAAATGTTCTTAAGGACTGGAGTTGCCAATCCTTCTTTCTTAAGATTAGCTGAAATGTTGAGTATTTAGATAACATTTTTGATTTGTTCTTAATCTATCCTAAAATAAGAACATTAATTTTGTCAAGCTGCTTTCTGCTTGGAGGAAGCAAATATGCCAAGTATTAGATTTTAAAAATTAATAGTGCTTTGGCAATTAGAATTTTTTCTTTAATGAAGTAATTTCTTAGTTTAAGCTTTTCGATCTTGTGCTTAATACTATCTGTTAGTTCTTTTTATAATTGTTTTTTGGGGTTGCCTCTTGAGTCAACTTTATATCCTAGAATTCTGAGTAAATCATCATTGCCAGCTATTTTAAAATTTTGTTGATTAGGTAGTTTCTTACTATGTGCTATGCTTGTAAGAGAAATTATAATAGATTTGTCTTGGTTTATCTTGGCATTAGTTGCTTTTTTATACTTTTTAAGTAGTGTTAAAACTTTACTTCAGTCTGTAAATAATCCAATTCTAATAGTTAAGTTATTTGTATAAGCTACTATTTTGAAAGGTTAATTTCTAAGCTTGATTCCTTGAATCTCTTCTTGAAGTTTAAGAATTAAAGGGTTGAAAGCAAAAACATATAGTAAAGATGATAGTAGAACCTTTTGCTAAACTTTTCTTTCCACTCTTATAGGCTCAGACAATCTCTTTAAATCTGCAATATGTGCTACCTGTAAGCTAAAAAGTGTATTTACAATTTTGATAAAGCTGTTATCAAAGTTCATTTTTTTTAGTACTTGTATAATAAACTTGTAACTTATTCTATCGAATGCCTTTTGTTAATCTAGTAGTATAAGTCAGTATAAGAAAAATTAGTTTTCTTGGTTTCTCAGAATAGTAATTATATCTAAAGCTGTATCTACTATCAATTGTCCTTTTATAAATGCTTGTTGTGATGAACCAATAATTGAGCTACAAATTTCATTAACCCTATTAGCCAAGATTTTCATAAAAATTTTAGCATTATTATTAGTTAGTGAAATAGACCTCCAGTTATTAACATCATTTAAGTTTTCTGCTTTTTTAGAAATAAGTATGATTATGCTTTTGGACTATAATTTAGAGATAGTGCCTGTTTCCGGACAGTAGTTAAAAAGACCTGTAAGTGCAAAAATAATCTCTTTTTGAATATCTTTATAAAACTTATAACTAAGGCCATCTGAACTTGAAGCTTTGTTGTTAGGAAGAGAGATCAGTACACTTTTAACTTCATCTTTTGTAATATGTCTTTTAAGTAACATGTTTTGTGTTATCATAATAAAAGTAAGATTCTGTGTGAAAAAATCAGCCTCATCTTAATTAATTTTCTTGGCTCTATATATATCTTAGTAAGTATTTCTTATATATTAAACTGTTCTGTTAATATTGTCTGGTTCGAAGTTGTTTGATAAAAAAATTTTATCTTTTGCTAATAATATATTTTTAACTTTGTATTGTATAAAGAAAAATTTTGTTGATTTTTCTCTTTCTTCTATCCATTTAGCATTGGATCTAAGTTGCCATTTCTTAGAAAGAGTATAAAGCTCATTCTGAAGTTGTATGCTAAGGCCTTCTTTGCTTTAAGAAGATACTCTGAGCTTTCTTCCTTAGCCAATTTGTTGTTTAGTTTAGTTGGTTCTTTTTGAAGCTTTTGTATCTTCTTCTCTGATGCAGAAAGAGGTCTAAAGGCTCTGATTATCAATTGTATTCTGCATATAAATAAATCCCATTTTGAGAAGTCTGCAAAGTTCTTTATTTCCTCAACTATTTCTGTTTTTAATTGTTTATTATACTAGCAATTTCTGTTAAATCTCCATTGTTTGGCTCTAGATGACTCAGATGTAAAGTTTAGTTTACATTCTATTATTAGGTAATTAGAGTTGCCAAACTGTGTAGTAGTATATTTACAGTATTGGCTATAATTGGCATTAATAAAGATGTAATTAAGACTCGTAACTATACTATGATTTCCTTGTGTGTTTTGGTGATAAGTAAGAAAAGGTTTCTGGTTGTTTAATAGTAATGCTGTATTGATCAGATCTAAAGTAATTTCTTTTAGTAATTTTCTCGAAGGATTATTAGCAATTGGTACATGGCTAATACAATCTTTTTGTAGATTCAGATTTGTATTAAAGTCACCTGCTACTATGTTAATATGTTTCTTATTAAGTTGCAGGTTCTAATTATTAAAAAACCATACTCTGTCCTTTGTGTTTGGAGGAGCATATATGTTGTTTAATTGAAAAAAGTACTGTTTGTATATGAGGTTTGCTAATATTATTTATTCATGATAGGATTCTTTAATATTTTTCAGTTTTAAATCATAGTTTTCTGTAAGTATTGCTGTTTTGAAGGTTTAGTAAGAATCAAACCCCCATATTTGTTTTAAAAAATTTCTTGTATAAATATTTTTTAAGTTAATTTCCTGGATTATAATTATGTCCAAGTGGTATAATTTTAATAGTGTAAGTGTTTTGTATGCTTTTTCTTTATTGTTCAGTTCTTTGATGTTTAGTGATGCAATTATGATTTTTTTAACCATTAAAAAATAATTTAAAAAAGTAGAGGTTGAGATTATGCCTATTGCAGTCCTCTGGCTTTTGTATAAAAAGCTAATGTTTTTAGGACTGTAGTTCTTTCTACTTTTGGAGTTGTGATTTTGCTTTTATTTCTATGCTTTTTTCTGGAAACTACTATAAAACCTTGTTCATTCTCTTTATCTATAGGATCAGTATTGTTTGTCCATACATTGTTGTACAGACTTGCAAGTGAATCTACTAGTACATTTTCATGTTTCATATTTGGCTTGTCTTCAGTTAATTTCATTTGATGTTCTAATTGACTTTCTTGTTTATTGTTGCTTATTAACATCTTTGTGTCTGATGTTATTTCATTTTGCATTATAATGTTTTCATCTTCTGTATTCATTGTTTCAAGTTTCTCCATAGAGTTGTTCATAATATTTTGTTTTTTAGTTCCTTGTTTACATAGGGATTTTCTAAACTGAATTTAAAAGGTTCCTCTATATGTTGTTGAAGCTGAATTTTTTCTTGTTTCTTTTGTTCTTTTTGCAGTTTGTGTAAGTTTTTAGTCTCAACTAAGAGTTTGTAGTCTGGGCAGTCTTTTTTTATATGACCTGCTTTGTTACAGAAGAAGCACATCTTTGAGGCCTCTCTCTAGTCAGTAGTAACTCTGTAGTCCCAAACATTTATAAATCTAGGAATTCAACTTGTCAAATCTGGGTTATCTGTCATTTCAAAGATTACAACCTACTGGTCTGACATTATAGAGGTTTCTTTGTGAATCAGTAGTTTAATCAATGAGATTATACCAATATCTTGGAATGCTTTTCTAATCTGCTCTGAAATAAATTTCTTTTTTTCCTATTAGTGCATTTTGAATTCTGACTAATAGAAAGTTGCATTTGATGTTTATAGGAATATATCTTTGTAAGGTCTGTTTAAAGATAGTAACACCTTCAGCTGCATATTGCTGTTGTTTGTTTTCATCTGAAAACACAACTTCTAAATGACTTCTTTTGTTTTTGTTAATCACTAGCCAGGCTGCAACCAGGTCTTCTTTTATTTCTTGTTCCAAAGCTTCTATGATTCTTGTAATAGAAATGTTTTCTAAACTAAATAATTCAAAGATTAGCACATTTTCATTTTTAGTAATAATTCTTTTTCATAGAGAATAGGTAAAGTATGTGGCTTTTCTTCTTTCCAATTTTGAGAAAAAATCAGACCACTATTTCAGTTTGGTTTGTTTATTCTGAGCTTCTGATTGGTTGTTTACGCAATTGGATATAGGCTCTTTATGTATTGTTTGTTTTGTTTGTTTATCTAAAATTTGATTTTTATTGTTCAAAGAAGTGACTGAAAACAAGTCTTCTTCTTCAAGTTCTGCTGTTTTATTCTTCTGGCCTTTAGGAGTTTCTATAGTAACCTCTAGCATATTTTCTTTTTTTTGTTTTTTCTCAGTAATAAGACTATCAGATCTGTTGTTTTCTTCTTGTTTTATTTTTTTGTTTATATCATTGGAGCCAAAACTAGACTTTTTTTTAAGGCTTGTGATTTTGGTTTTTTTATTTTTGTAACTCATTGATACTAAACTAGACATAGTTAAACATGCTTGTTTTTTTTTCTTAAACACAAGAATTTTAGCCTTTGTGTTGTTTTTAGTAGATTTTTTCAATAAAGTTTAATAGTTTTTGTTTATTTTATTTTTTACTACTGAATATAAATGGAGAGAGTGATTTTTTTTTTAATAACAATTTTTAAAAATTTTTTATTTACAGTATATTTAATAAACTATTATTAATAAAAAAGTGCCATATGTGCCTCTAGATGTTAATATTAGGAATAAAAAAAAAATTTGTTTTGCAAAAATAGAAACTTTAACATACAAAAAAAAAATTAAAAAATAATTTGGTTTACTATTTGGCTAATAAAATAAATAGTAATTTGTAACATGTTTTTAAAATAAATTACTAATTAGTTGTATTTTATTTTAATATTAAATTTCTTTCAAAAGTTTTTACAAATACATTTACAAATTTTTTAACTTCTTTAAATACAATTTTAAATTTTACATTATATTAGTATACTTATCTTGTAAAAATACTTAACTTAGACAAATTTCAAGTATATTTAATCTTAAAAAAAAAACTTACTACTTTAGATTTTCAAATTACAATTAGTTCAATTAAGAAATAGATTTATTGCAAAAATAAAAATCTTTTTTACTATAATTGTCATTAGAGTATAAATATTAAATATGAAGTAACAGATATTAAGCTTTTTTTGAATAAAGCTATATGTATAAGTTCTTTGCTAAGAAGTTTTTATAAAAAATAGATTTATTATGATTTTTCTAATAAACTTCTTGTGTAACAATAGCTTATAGAGCTGTAGCAAAAATTCTATATAGGCAGCCATTAATAGAAATTAAGCAAATTTACAAAAATCTAATTTTAAAATAATTGCATTTTTTTGTAACATTATACAAATAAGATCTTTAAAATAAACAACTTCAACTCTAATTCTAAAATAATTTTAATCTAATTTTAAATCTGATTCAGACTCTTATTAAATTATTAAAATTTTTTTAAATATATTATCTTACAAATTCACATTTAAACTATATTACAAATTTATACTTAACTTTCTTAATTACAGTTTTTTTTATAGTTTTCTAAATGCATATTACCAAGGGTTGGTTTGAACAGAATGCATTTAGAGTAGTTTCTCTGTATTTACTACATCTAATTTTTTATATATACATATGCATCTTAAATATAAGCAAAAAATTCAAGAACAAATTTTATCTGGCCAGCTATTTTTGCAAGAACAAGTCTTGTTAAACAAAAAAAATTACATTTAGTATTTAAAATCTACTATATGCCACTGCTTATAGTATCAAAAAAATAGCTATATTCAATAATTATTTCTAAGACTTGAGTATTACTTACCATCATTACCAACCTATTTCTTGAATAAGATCTGAATATATTTATATTGATTTACTACTTTTAATATATTCTATAAGTACTATCCAATATTAAAAATAAAAATTCTTGAATAAAACTTAGATACTGTATGTATATGATATATTTGAAATTTGCAGTATATAAATTAAAAGTTACTTTATAGACAAAATTTTTTTGGAATCTGCAGATTTTATTTGCTATACATGTCATATATTTTTCTTTTTTTTTGAATAAATTTAAATACATTATTTCAAATAAAAATGAATTTAATATATGTTAACAAATTGAAAAAACAAAGAAAAACAATCAGAAATTACATATTGTCTTATAATTTTGTCCTAATAACATGAATCTAAAATGTTAGATCTTAGAAATTTTATATAAATAAAGTAATATAACTAAAAGCTACTAATCACAATTAGTATTTAAAAAAGCAACAAATGACTTATTTGTAATACTCTTCTTTTTAACACAACCAAGCATTATAATCATCTTTTTTTTTGATTCAACTCTTCTTACTATATACTGTAGTTTTCTAATTCTGTTATTTTTTATTTAACAGCTAATCTGCTTCAATTAAATAAAAAATCAACAGTTAATGCTACTTCTCATTTCTACTATTATGATAATATCTGGTGCAACCTTTCTTGTTAATTTTTCTAATAGCATATCAATATGTTTAAATTACTCAACTCAAATTACTTACAATGTATTCTGCAAACTTAAAATCTTTTAATTAAATTTTTTAACAACTTTGGTTTATCAGCATTGTTTTATTATATAATCATTTATGTTTATGTTTTTTAAGACACTTAAATTCTATTTAAAATATTATAACTTTTCTAAATAGAAATGCTTATTTTTAAAAACCTACAGTAATAGATATGAAGCTTTTTTGCATTTTAAAATATATTGCTTTTAAAATATAAAGGTTAAGTGTTAAAAGCTATTTTTAGATCTTTTTTCTTAAAAAATATAATATTGATATCAAAATTTTCACTATCATACAATTATAATACAATTTTTAAATATAAATCAAATCAATTTTAAGTTATCATAAATTTTTAAAAGTAATAAAACTATTGAATATTCTCTTTATTAATATTGCTTTAATTTTTATTTAATATTTTTATATTATATAATATTCAAACTATAAGTATACTGTTTAACTTTAGTTTACAGTTATAATAGTTATATAGTATATAAAATTTTTTTTTCTTCTAAATGCTTTTTAAAATTTCTAACTATATTTTATAACTTCAAGTTAAATTTTTTTCATTTGTCTATTCTTGAATTTTTCTTAATAATATTAAATTGTTAATAACTATTTTTATGATTTCTTTTTGAACAAATTTATCAAGCACTATATATTTATTAGTAGTTATGTTTTGAATTAACACATAAATCTTATATTTATTTTTTTTTAATTTCATATAATTTTTAAATAAAAAATTATATAAGGGTGTGGCGACTTAGTGAAGTGGATAAGTTGTCAACCTCCCAAGTGGTAGGTTGTGAGTTCAAAACCCACCGATGACGAAAATTTGAATAATCACCTATGTAATACATAGACGGTATTATGGCGACGGCATTCTGTCGATCAGTTGGGATAGG